GGCAAGGGTGAGTAAGCACCATAAAACTGTCCTAGAATTTCAGGGCAACTTTTTTTTTTTTAAATTTACTGTTTGCTTGGTTGCTATAGACCTTTATCTATTTTTATTTTTGAGCACCTACAAAGTTGGTTCTGACATATCTGCTTGTTTTATCAATGTTTCTATGTATAGAGACTATCTTAGAGTTTCCTTGTTTGCTATCTTTCTGATATCACTCCTAATGGCCTATTTTTTTTTTTTTTTGAGATTACGTGTATACTTTAATGAATGTGGTACCTTCTGGGCCTAACAGACCTAGTTTTCCAGTAGGGCCTGGGTGAGATGGTTCCATGGGTGGATTAGGAGGAATGGAGTCCCATCACATGAATACTGAATGACCTGGTTTTTGTTTTTTGTTGTTTTGTTGTTGTTTTTTTTGTTTTGTTTTTTGTTTTTTTTTTTTCGAGACAGGGTTTCTCTGTGTAGTTTTGGTGCCTGTCCTGGATCTCGGTCTGTAGACCAGGCTGGCCTCAAACTCACAGAGATCTGTCTGGTTCTGCCTCCCAAGTGCTGGGATTAAAGGCATGTGACACCACCGCCCGGCCAAATGACCTTTTTTTTTTTTAACTATTAACTTGGCTTTTATTTATTTATTTTTTGAACATGAAAACAGGTTAAAAGTCCAGGGTTATTTTAAACAGCAAAATATTTTCTCTGTAGAAAATAGTATAAATGATAACATTTCCCAATAAGACCTTTTAAGTCAAATGATAGCTGAATTATACATATAAATATTGATTAGATTCTGGGATACAGGAGAAACCTATCTTCATCTGTTCAGAGAGCTATATTTTATTTAAATTGTGTAAGTGAGATTCCTATTCATCTTCCCCTTCACTGTTTGATTTACGGCAGGCATTTTTCTATAGGCTAATCCATAATCTAAAAAGATGTTAGCCTCCCCTCCTGAAAGTACAGCCAGCATTTTCTTTCATCAGCTTGATACGGTACAAATTTTTATCCTAACAGTGAAATGTTTCACTAAAGCTTCCCCAGTGATTGGGTGAAACCAAAACTTATTATAAGCCACAGTCATCCTAGGGTCCCCCCTGCTAGGCAGCCTCCCTGATTTAAAAAATCATTACTTATTGATACTTCAGTACCACAAGATGGTTGCTACAACACCAAATATCCGGTTTCTGTCTAGAGTATGAGAAGTGGGGAAGGCTCGAGTACCCCACCATTATGCAAGTCACATTTAATGCTGAAGTCTAGAAGTAGATCACATGCCACTGCCTGTGGCGAAGGGGGCTTAGGATACAGGGACAGCACCCTCTTCTGAACCGCAGGCACAGCCCTGCACCAAATACAGTCTTGGTTCTGAAGACAGCAAAACGAATATGCCAATGGGAGGCTGGTTACCCGCAAACAGCCAAAAGTATGACCACTCACATTCATGATGGTCAGCAAAGATAACACGGGTGACAAGCTTGACAATGTCACCTCCCCTGCCTTTCCATGTGGACTCCCAAACTCTGCATGCTGCTGGAGTACAGAGAAGCCAGATAGTGAATCTTCTTCACATCTTCGGGCCCTGCCTACATAAGCTTTCCTTGCAGACTACAAAGCAAACACCCAGACCTGGCCCCAGAAGACTGCCTTGCCCCCAACCCCAAGGTGCCCCCCGGCATAGTGTGAGATGCTGCTCTCCGCTGCTGAGTAACTACAGCGTAGCCGTAGGTGATTGTATGAATAATAAAAGTAAGTTAGAACGAGATCTCCTGGCTGGCTGTGCAGTTCAGTGGTGTAGCACACGCGTACCATGTGCAAGTCATTAGGTTCAAGTCTCAGTCCTAAGCTCTACCTCGAAAATCCAAGGGATCTTTTTTTTTTTTTTTTTTTTTTTTTTTGGGTTTTGGAGACAGGGTTTCTCTGTGTAGCTTTGTCCCTTTCCTGGAACTCACTCTGTAGACCAGGCTGGCCTCGAACTCACAGAGATCCTCCTGCCTCTGCCTCCTGAGTGCTGGGATTAAAGGCATGCGCCACCACCGCCCCTCCCCCCAGGTATCTTTTTATCATGCTACAGTTACTACCGTAGTGAAGCCTGACAAATATAATGCACGATTAGATGAGAGTGTGACGAGACACTGTACTTGCTGGCGTCACTGAGTGTCTGCTGTTTAAGGGTTGGGACTGACCCTTAGCTGGATACAAGTAACAGAATCTGATAATCTTCTGATAATCCTCATTTATCGTGAGGAATGAATTAGTGAACTCTGCCCTTCAGAGTCATAAACACGCGTAAAATCATAAATCTCAGCTCTGGGAACACATTTTAAGGAGATACACTCCCCCCCCCCAAAAAAAAAGAAGAAGAAAGAAGAGGAAGAAGACAACATATCTTAGACACAAAGGAGTCAAGTGTGTTCTTATTTATTTATTTATTTATTTATTTTATTTTTTTTTTTTTTCGAGACAGGGTTTCTCTGTGTAGCTTTGCGCCTTTTTCCTGGAACTCACTTGGTAGCCCAGGCTGGCCTCGAACTCACAGAGATCCGCCTGGCTCTGCCTCCCGAGTGCTGAGATTAAAGGCGTGCGCCACCACTGCCCGGCTATGTGTTCTTATTTATAATAAGGAAATCTTGGCAACCAGTCCAGCCTGCAGTGTTGGGAGAAGAGAACCTCGGCTGCTCTGTGGACCACAATTCCAAACACACTTGCTAATCAGAGACCAAAGGCAAAGGATTGTTAAAGCCCAGGGAGAATCAGCAGGTGTGCATGCCCGTGTCATGTGCTCATGAATGAACATGTGCCCGGGCAAGGCCTAGAGGGACCCCCATATAGGCAATGGAGGTGATTCTGGGTGATAGTCTTCCTCAATGTCCTCAGTGTGATTGTGTGGTTCTCATGCCTTTTTTTTTTTTTTTTTTTTTGTGGTTTTTCAAGACAGGGTTTCTCTGCAAAGCTTTGCGCCTTTCCTGGAACTCACTCTGTAGTCCAGGCTGGCCTTGAACTCACAGAGATCCACCTGGCTCTGCCTCCCAAGTGCTGGGATTAAAGGCGTGCACCACCATCGCCCAGCTTCTCATGCCTTTTTTGGACTTCAGAAAAGAAATCAGACCACAGATCTGGACCCTGCCTGTCTGGTGCTGGGCTGGGCACAGCTGGGCAACCCTCATGAGAACTGACACACAGAAGGCAGGGCTTCAGTAACTCTCATTTGGGCAATTGGGGTTTTCATGTGACTAGTAATTTTTTTTTTTTGAGTCTTACTCTGTAGCCCTGGCTGATCTAAAACTCACTCTGTAGACCAGGCTGGCCTTGAACTCACAGAGATCCACATGCCTCTGCCTCCAGAGAGCTGTGATTAAAGGCCTACACTACCATGTCCCTACCAGTAGTAACTTCTTGTTTTGAGGGTTTGTGATGTGGAAAAACAGTGGCTACATGTCCGGAGGTTCAGGCTTCCAGGAGTGTTTTCAATCAATGACTTGCAGGTGTGGACAGTGCCACGCCCTTATCTACTCGGGGGCAGGTCGGGGAGGGGTCCTCTAGGGTGGTTCCCTCTATGTCCTGGAGGTCTCAGGGACAGGAGCTGGTCTTTTTTAATTATTATTATTATTTATTATGTATACAGTGTTCTGTCTGCATGTGTCCCCGCACGCCAGAAGAGGGCACCAGATCTCATTACAGATGGTTGTGAGCCACTATGTGGTTGCTGGGAATTGAACTCAGGACCTCTGGAAGAGCAGCCAGTGAGTGCCCTTAACCACTGAGCTACCTCTCCAGCACCCCAGGAGCTGGTCTTGAATGCATCTTCATCGGTTTCCTCATATCCCATGATCCTTTGCCTGCTCACCCACTGTTGTAACCTGAAGTCACCTTCCAAGTCAACCGCTTGTCCTAGGATCCTTGTCCCAGGGTCTGCATCTGGGGGAATCAAATGAGAACACTCAAGACAAAATCAGAAGTGAGCAGATACCATCCAGGGAGTAACAAGAGAACCTGGAGGTGTTGGGTGGGGTTATCACTGCACCAGAGTTGGTCCTGCGCTTTCTCCTCAGCCTCTGCTTTTCCCTACCTAAGCCTGGACAGCTCCCCTCTGAGCCCACCAGAGTCCATGGAACACTGGATGATGAGGAGTAGGCCCCTCCCTGCAGCTGTCTGCCAGGTAAACCTCATGAGTGGCCTTGCCGCAATTATCAGTAGCTCAGCTTTGGCAATAGGGGCCAATGTCCTGACCCATCTTGGCGATAGCAAGAGTCCAAGGGGAGACTGGAAGATTCCTATTGGAAAGAAGCAGAAGGCGAACCATGTACCTGGGCCCAGGTTGGGTGGGATTGGCCACCCAGATCGCCTAACCAGAGTTGTTCAGTGGTCTAGGCCAGGGCCAGGGCCAAGAAACAGACCGAGCAGGAGTCGGGAGGAAGAGTAGAGGATCAAAGGGATCTCTATTCTCTGTCCTCCCAGATCCTGAAGGGACTTTTGCCACTGAATCACTTTACCCTCAGTGTCTCGTTATTATCTAGGTGCTAATATCAATTATTCCGTTGCTAGGATGCCAGAGGTGAGTCTGAGCCTATCCTTGATGTTGGTCTGAAGAGGCAATGGGTCAGAGTGCAGGTTGGAGGCCAAGTCCAGGATAATGTTGACGTTCTGCGGTTCCGTTTAGCCCCCAAGGCCAAAACCAGGCCAGCGCCCGGTCTAGTGAAAGTACAACCCTGCATCTCTTGCCCATCTGGTTCTAGCCACGTTAGACTTCAGGGGGACCCTAGCACCTTCACTAGGAAGTTTACCAAGGAGGGGGTACATGGAATGGAGCCATCTGATAGGAGGGGTCAGACCATGTGAATCATTAACCAGAAGTGCACAGCCCTATTGGTCCTAACTTGCCAGATGAAGGATTGTCACTAGGAGGAGGAGGCTGCCTTAATGTGTAACTTCGGGAGTCCGTCCTCAGCTTTCCCCAGCTGTCCCTGAGACCTGGCCCTACTTTTCCTTGATCACTTCCTGGACCTGGGATGGCAGCTCGCCTGCGGGGATGGCTGCTCTGGGCCCTACTCCTGAATTCAGTAAGTCTGTTGCTCGTGGCTACTTCTTAGTACCTCCCATGAAGGGCCAGGCAAGCTGGGTACCTTATACGGAGGCAGGGTCACACAGCCGTGGGGGGTCTCCCATGCCCGCAGAGAAGTGTTGGTGGAGCGGTCTCCAGGTCAAGGGGTTGAAGGGACAGAGGGTCAGAGAGGCAAATGTGTGGGGCCTTGGCCTGTGGTTAAGTGGGGATTGAGTTGGGTGCTGGAGGTGGATCGTAGGTGAACATCACTTTAAATATTCTGTGTTTGGGAGGAGGTCTTGTTACCATCCCGGCTTGCTCTCAGAGGTGGGTGATAGCATTTGGTAACACAGGATGTGGGACAGGAGGCTCTTGTACAGACCCTTTACAAGGGACCCTGGCCTTGGTGTGGAGTACAGCCTAGAGACTCAGACTGACAGTAGTGGGGGTCCCTCCACCTCTCCATCTCCTTTGCATGATGACCTCTGAAAGCCACACTCTATCAGATCACTTCCTTTTCTGAATAACCCTATCACTATCCACTGGGAGAGTGTCTCTCCTCCATTGGCACCCTAAGGACAGCACGTGCCCCATGAGCCTCCCCATAGCTCTTCCAACCCCCTATTTGGTGTCCTTCCTTCCCACGCACTCTCTCTGGCCTCTCACTGCCCAGATACTGCTTGACTGGGCCAACCAGCCTCAGGGCTTATGGGGGCTATTGGTCTTCTCTGCAGGCCCAGGGTGAGATATACACACCCGTTCATCAGGCTGGCTTCTGCACCTTTTATGAAGAGTGTGGGAAGAATCCAGAGCTGTCTGGAGGCCTCACGTCACTGTCCAATGTATCTTGCCTGTCTAATACCCCGGCCCAGCATGTCACAGGTACCCACCTGGCCCTCCTCCAGCGCATCTGTCCCAGCCTGTACAACGGCCCCAACACCACCTTCGCCTGCTGCTCTACCAATCAGCTGGTGTCGCTAGAAAGGAGCCTATCTATCACCAAGGCCCTCCTCACCCGCTGCCCGGCCTGCGCTGACAATTTTGGGAGCTTGCACTGCCACAACACTTGCAGCCCTAACCAGAGCCTCTTCATCAACGTCACCCGTGTGGCTGAGAGGGACGCCGGGCAGCCTCCAGCTGTGGTGGCCTATGAAGCCTTTTACCAGCGCAGCTTTGCAGAAAAGGCCTATGAGTCCTGTAGCCGGGTACGCATCCCTGCGGCTGCATCACTGGCCGTGGGCAGCATGTGTGGGGTGTACGGCTCTGCCCTTTGCAATGCCCAGCGTTGGCTGAACTTCCAGGGAGACACAGGGAACGGCCTGGCTCCTCTGGACATCACCTTCCACCTCTTGGAGCCTGACCAGGCCCTGCCAGATGGGATGCAGCCTCTGAATGGGGAGATCACACCCTGCAATGAGACCCAGGGTGCAGACTTGGCAGCCTGTTCCTGCCAGGACTGCGCAGCGTCTTGCCCTGTCATTCCTCAGCCCCCGGCCCTCAGCCCTTCCTTCTACATGGGTCAAATGCCAGGCTGGCTGGCTCTCATCATTATCTTCACTTCGGTCTTTGTGTTGTTCACTGCCATCCTCGTGCGTCTCCGAGTGGTTTCCAACAGGAACAAGGGCAAGACAACAGACTCCCAGGAAGCCCCCAACCTCTCTCAAAAGAGCAAATTCTCACCTCATACCGTCCTTGGCCGGTTTTTCCAGAGCTGGGGCACAAGGGTGGCCTCATGGCCACTCACCGTCTTGGCACTGTCCTTAATGGTTGTGATCGCCTTGTCAGTAGGCCTGATCTACATAGAACTCACCACAGACCCTGTGGAACTATGGTCAGCCCCCAAAAGCCAAGCCCGGGAAGAGAAGGCTTTCCACGACGAGCATTTTGGCCCCTTCTTCCGAACCAACCAGGTTTTTGTGACAGCTCGGAACAGGTCCAGCTATAGGTACGACTCCCTGCTTCTAGGGCCCAAGAACTTCAGCGGGATCCTGTCCCTGGACCTGCTCCTGGACCTGCTGGAGCTCCAAGAGAGACTTCGACAGCTGCAGGTGTGGTCCCCTGAGGCGCAGCGAAACATCTCCCTGCAGGACATCTGCTATGCCCCCCTCAACCCGCACAACACCAGCCTCTCTGACTGCTGTGTCAACAGCTTCCTTCAGTACTTCCAGAACAACCGCACACTCCTGCTCCTCACGGCCAATCAGACGCTCAGTGGCCAGACTTCCCTGGTGGACTGGAGGGACCACTTCCTGTACTGTGCAAAGTGAGTAGGAGCAGGTGGGAGCTGCTATGCCCCCCTGAGAACCAGGCCAGAATGCAGCTCCATCAGAGTCAGGGAGAGCTCCTACGTGTGCACATCAGGGCCATTGTGTGTCGGAGTCTCCTTGAGTCTCTCTTCTCAGGGCTGACTCCCATCTTATCCCTGTTCTCTGCAGTACATTTGTCTTAATAGTCCTTCCAACTCAAGTCCATATGGTCTTTCTGTCCACGATGGCCCTACTGTGGTCTTAATAATTTTTAGAATTATTTTAATCTTATATGAACAAATATTTTTTTTGTATGTATATGCGTGGCTTATATATGTGCTTGATGCTGCAGAGGCCAGAAGAAGTTGCTAGATTCACAAGAACTGGAGTTAAGGTCAGTTGCAAACCACCAGGTGGATCCTGAGAACTGAACTCTGGTCCTCTGCAAGAACAGCACTTAGCCACTGAGCCCTCTCTTCTGCCTTTGGTGTAGTCTTAGTTTAAATCCCAAAGTGATGGCTCAGGTAGTGTTTATGCTTGTACTATTTTGTTTTCTCGAGTCTGCCAGGATCTGTAGGGCCTTTGATAGCCTAGGAATTGGCGAGAAATAAGTTCATTTGGACTTGACCAAGACTTGGCTAGTCTCTGGTCCCAGGCAGCAGGCCAGGTGTTCTAGGGCAGTTTCACCCACACCTTGATGCCGTTGAGGTTCTGCTTCTGGCTTTGCCCATGTTGGGTGGTATAAACAGGATGCCAGCAGGGCCACTGGGCCAGGAGTGGTGGGGGCTCCTGGAGAAAGGAGTGGAGTGTGAAGGGCCCAAAACGGCTGTCTTCTGCCCACCTTACACTCAAGAGCAGGGGAGGGCTACAGCAGCCAAGGACACGAGTGCTGTTATGGAAACAGTTTTGACCTTGCAGAGCCCAGGCCTCGAATTCTTTAAGATTCCCTAGATTAAAGGAGGAAGCCTCTGCTGTCTCTCCATGCTACTGACTGTCTGTCCATCCTCAGCTGAGTGTCAAGTGCGGGTTGGGTGTCTGTGATATCTCTCCGAGACAGCAGAACAGAGAGGGGCCATGGAGAGGCATCGGAGATCAGCCATCCTAGATGCTGCGGGATTTTTGTTGCTCTTGTTGATTTTGTTTTAAGATCGTGAGTCACACTATTTGAAAGGTTGTCCTCAAATTCACGCTCTTCCCTCAGCCCCCTGAGTAACGGAGGTTGCAGCCCTATGCTATCATGCTTGGCTGCTACCGTCTTTATTGTGATTTTGGATGCTCGCAACTCTTGGTGAGCTGATTATGCTTATTTCATAGACCTGAAAACTGAAGTTCAGGGAGATAGGGTAAGCTTCTTCAGGTCACACAGCAATTTGGCTCTCTTAGATGGTGCTGTTGACTGATAGACTCCTCAGAGCTGAGAATGTGTGTAAAGAGCTTTTGTGCTCTGTAGAAAGGGTTTAGTTGAAGAGGACAAGCCTGTCCAAGAGCACTGGCTGGGGAGCTATAGACACGTGGCTCTGAGCTCCAGGGCTCAACTCAACACTTGGAGGGTTCAGGCTCTGGGAGGGAGGAAATGAAGAACAGCAGGAGATGTGCAGGAGATGGTCACGGCTCAAATCTGGGCTTTCTCACTTAATTGGGATGCTCATTTGGAGCTGAGGTAACGACAGGTCTGGAAGGGGAAATGTGAAGCACAGAGAGACAGTACCTGTCCAAGGGAGACACCTGAGGCAGCCCCAACCTGGTTCTATGGACTAGGGGACCTCAGGAGACCACCTTATGGACAGATGGTCATTTTGAACCCTCTGGGTCAGGCAGTCTGAAGCCTTTGCTCCTCACTCAGGGAGTTGAGGGCCTTGGGCAGGGTGGGGCCAACGGAACCAGGCAGGGCCAGGAAAGCCTCTTTCCCTTTGTGGTTTCCCTCTAGTGCCCCTCTCACGTTCAAGGACGGCACGTCTCTGGGTCTGAGCTGCATAGCTGACTACGGGGCCCCTGTCTTCCCCTTCCTTGCTGTCGGGGGGTACAAAGGTAAGTGAAGGGGCAGTTTGGGGGCAGGAATAATAGGTAGAAGGGAGAGGCCATGGTGATGGGTGTTTCCAGGACCTGGGGGCCTGGCTTAAGGGGGCTGCAGAAGATGCTTCCTACCTCCCCTCTGCCATTCTCCTCATCTCTCTCTCTCTCTCTCTCTAAGATTTATTTATTTTTTGTATACGAGTGCTCTATCTGCAGAAGAGGACATCAGATCCCACTATAGATGGTTGTGAGCCACCATGTGGTTGCTGGGAATTGAACTCAGGACCTCTGGAAGAACAGCCAGTGCTCTTAACTGCTCAGCCATCTCTCCAGCCCCTCCCCTCATCTCTTAATGCTGCCTGGGAGCCCTGGTTTTGTGCTGGGAAAGGGAATTGGGGCATTGGATAAGGCTATTGTTGGGGTGGGGAAGCAGGAGAGGAAGAGGAATGGGGGCACAACTTGAGGGGCAAAGGTGTACTAGGAGGGAGGCTCAGAGTTTCTCTTCCCAGGGACGGACTACTCCGAGGCAGAGGCGCTGATCATAACCTTCTCGCTCAATAACTACCCCGCTGATGATCCCCGCATGGCCCAGGCTAAGCTCTGGGAGGAGGCTTTTTTGAAGGAAATGCAAGACTTTCAGAACAGCACGGCTGACAAGTTCCAAGTTGCGTTCTCAGCTGAGGTAGGGACCCCGCAGAGTTCCGGCTTCCTTGTTTGCAATCCCTAATCATCTTGGGCCAATTCCAGTCAAATCCGCATCCTGGCTCTACTTGTTCCTGAACGGCCTTGGGCAGTGAAAGCCTGGGCCCACCCTGATAGGGTGCTTGTGTTAGAGGCTCCTGTAGTTCCCCAGAGCATCAGTGGGCCACTCAACAAAGAAACCCAGTATGTGGCCGGTGACCTGGTTGTGTCCTCCTAGCGCTCTCTGGAGGATGAGATCAACCGCACCACCATCCAGGACCTGCCTATCTTCGCCATCAGCTACATTATCGTCTTCCTGTACATCTCCCTGGCCCTGGGCAGCTACTCCAAATGCAGCCGAATAGTGGTGAGAGTGGGCGGGGCAGAGCAAGAGGGACTCAGAGCCTAGGACATCTCTAAAAGACCTTCTAAAGCATTCGTAGCGAGGGCTCCTCAACATAGTGAGTTAGACACATTCCAAGAGAACTCCTCGAAGGGTAGTACTTCTTGGATGTGCTCTGTGTTGAAAGGCCCAGAGTTTTCTTCCTGCTCTCTAACATAGCCCCACTATCCACACGCTAAGCTACCGTTTAAAAGGCCATGCAACACAATTCTAGGAAGATGCAGCCAGACACACCTGCACTTTTGGGTGCCACGGGCCTGCCTCAGGGAGGATGGTTTGGAATAGAGACTTTAACACACATATGGGTTCTTTATTGAGGTGGGAGGCACTGAGCACCTGTGAGCACCAAGAGTACCTGCGGTTCCTCACCCAACCTGGGGAGTAAGGAGGATCTGGGCAGGTGCTCTGGTAGGCACCCGGCTGAGCCTAGTTGCATTGCAGGTGGATTCCAAGGCGACTCTGGGCCTAGGTGGGGTGGCTGTTGTGTTGGGAGCAGTCGTGGCCTCCATGGGCTTCTACTCCTACCTGCGTGTCCCCTCCTCTCTGGTTATCATCCAAGTGGTACCTTTCCTGGTGCTGGCCGTGGGAGCAGACAACATCTTCATCTTTGTTCTTGAGTACCAGGTAAGAAGGGGCTTTTCATACCCACTGGCAGCCCAACATCGTCATTAGACGAAGGCCACATAGAGTTGCTGGCATTCTTGAAGACTCTTCTCTGCAGACTTCTACGTGTAGGAAGTAGCGTGGGTTGACACAAACTCACTCAGACTTCTTGTGTCATCTTGAACTTGCTTTCAGCTGACCACATACGCTGTCCAGTGAGCTTTCTGTATTCATGTATTAGAGCTGCCTCCTTCCTGCCTTACACTACTGTGTGTGGTATCCCATGGCAAGCACAAACCAGAGTCCATATAACACCTCTTTGCTGTCAAGTGCTTAGTGACAAGAATGCTTGGTCCTTTCATATCTACTATACACTGAGTGGTTCTTTAGGCTACAACACAGAAGCAGAAAGTGTGGCTGTGAGTTGTTAGGAGGCTCTTCTGTCTCCAGAAGGTCTGGCAGTTCCTCAAATTTGACCAGGACGCTAAGTCCTTCACCAACCTGCTGCTGGCCTTTAAAGTCTGGTGACCTTGGCAGACCCTGTACACTCCCTCTCTTTGCCCGCACAGAGGCTGCCTAGGAAGCCTGGGGAAGAGCGAGAGGCTCACATTGGCCGGACGCTGGGCAGTGTGGCCCCCAGCATGCTGCTGTGCAGCCTCTCTGAGGCCATCTGCTTCTTTCTGGGTGAGCGAGGGCTGTCCTTCCCCACGCAGGAGCTTAGTCTATGTGGGGGCGAGGTTTTCGGAAGGCAGTGGGCATTTCCTTCTTTAAACCGTCTGTGCTGACATCTGGCCCACGATGCCAGGATGATCTGACAGACTCTGTGCCCTCAACAGGGGCCCTGACCCCAATGCCAGCTGTGAGGACCTTTGCCTTGACCGCTGGCTTAGCGATTATCCTCGACTTCCTGCTCCAGATGACTGCCTTTGTGGCCCTACTCTCCCTGGATAGCAAGAGGCAAGAGGTAACGCCAACTAGACCAGGACCAAGGGATTTACCCTGCCTGGGTCCCCACATTCCCTGGAAGATGTGGCATTACTACCACAGAGATAGCCAGGAGAGCTAGGGGTAGGGGGTAGAAGCATTATTCTGACAGAGGATGTTTGGGCTCTGTGTTCTGTAATTTCCCACAGAAAGAGAATGTATTTTTGGGAGTATAATCAAACCTCCTAAAAGTATGTAGGTTTACAAAATAAATTATAACATTAACAGAAGTCAAGCTGGTGGTTTTTTAATGATGTAAAATTCAGTATTTGATTAAGGCAGGAAATAAAAGCAACAAAAATGGTAGTGGCCATCTCTGGGGCTTCCCTGGGTGGAGTGGTTCCTGGGGTCTGCCTTGGACCTGGTCTTGAGAGGTTGTCATTCTCTAGGCCTCTCGCCCCGACTTCTTATGCTGCTTTTCAAACGGGAAACTACCCCAACCTGAACAAAAAGAGGGGCTCTTACTCCGCTTCTTCCGGAAGATATACGCTCCCTTCCTGCTGCACAGGTTCACCCGTCCTGTTGTGGTACGTGGGCCGAGGGGGCTGTGCCACTTTGGGAGAAAGACCAGGAGGAGCATGGTGGGGTGGCTGCCCAGGTCCAGGGCAGATACTTGTGGCTACAGCTTGAGTCTGTCCAACTCCAGGGTGTTTCCCAGAATCCCCAAGAAAGCCATTCAAGTTTGGGGGAAGATGGAGGCTGTTTGGGGAGAGGTTCTCATGTGCCAGTTTCCCCCTTAGCTGCTGCTGTTTCTGACCCTGTTTGGAGCAAATCTCTACCTCATGTGCCACATCAGTGTGGGGCTGGACCAGGAACTGGCTCTGCCCGAGGTGAGCTTCCTCTTCTCAGCCCTTGGTCCTGAGACCTGGGAGGGGCAGCAGTGCCAGAGGGTGGTTTTTTTTTGGGAGGACACATGAGACAAGGCTTGGCACCTCTCGGAAACCACATCCATGTCTATTAAGTGCAAGGGCCGAGTGCTGGCTTAGGCCATAATAGACGCCCTGTACCGGAGGTCTCTCCGTGTGGCTATCTACACAGGGGCTGCTATTTCCTTCTATGTGAATTCCTCACTGATGCTTGTTTGGGGATTTATTATTTTTACGTGTATGAGTGTTTTGCCGGCATGTATGTTTATGTGTTATGTGGGTGCTGGGTGCTTGCAGAAATCAGAAAAAGGGGTGTCAGATCCCCTGGGACTGAGGTTACAGATGGTTGTGAGTCGTCCTGTGGGTGCTGGGAATTGAACCCCAGGTACTCTGGAAAAGCAGCAAGTGCTCTTAACTGTTGAGACAACCCACCAGCCCCAACACTTGTCATTTGTCTGTGTCTTTTTTCAGTGTTGGGATCAAATCTGGGATCTCCCACTTTGTTGGGAAAGTGCTTTATAGTAAGCTATAAAGTCATACCCTGTCTGTCCTTTTTGTTTGTTTGTTTTGAAACAGTTTTTCAATGTGTAACAGCTGTTTGTGTTTGGCTGTCCTGGAACTCGCTTTGTCTTGGTCTTCTTCTTTCTTCCTCCTCCTCTTCTTCCCTCTTCTTCTTCCTCCTTCTCCGTCCTCCTCCTTCTTCCTCCTTCCTTTCTTCTTCTTCTCCTCCTCCTCTTCCTCTTCCTCCTTCTCCTTCTTCCTTCCTTCCTTCCTTCCTTCCTTCCTTCCTTCCTTCCTTCCTTCCTCTCTCTCTCTCTCTTTCTCTCTGTCTGTCTCTCCAGTCATAGTACAGGGTACAAGTAGTATCTGTTTGTAGTGGTGGATTCTTTTGTTTTGCTGAGCAAGGTCTCACTGTAGCCCAGGCTGGTCTGAAATGGCCTGTCCTCTTGCTTTGGCCTCTTGAGACCCCCAGCAGCACTGCTGCCTGGCTTTATAGTTGTTTCAATTTGCTTTTTGTTGTTGTTGTTGTTGTTTTGTTTTTGTTTTTTTACAAGACAGGCTTTCTCTGTGTAGCTTTGGTGCCTTTCCTGGAACTTGCTTTGTAGATCAAGCTGGCCTTGAACTCACAGAGATCCGCCTGCCTCTGCCTCCCGAGTGCTGGGATTAAAGGCGTGCGCCACCACCACCCGGCTAGGAGTCAAACTTCTTTTTCTTTTTTTTTTTGCTTTCTGAGACAGGGTTCCTCTGTGTAGTCCTAACTCTCCCGGAACTTGCTCTGTAGACCAGACTGGCCTCTAGCTCACAGTGATCCACCTGCCTCTGCCTCCTGAATGCTAGTATTAAAGTCATGGGTCACCACCACTCATATTAGTAAAATTTCAAACCAGAAAGTGTGAGTCTTTCAAATTTGTTCTTTGTCAAGACTTCTTGGGCTATTTGAGTTCTCTAGAGATTATATTTGAATTTAGCTTGAAATTTTTAGATTTCTTCAAAAACTGTCATTGGTATTTATACACGGGGATTGCACTGAATCTTTAGATGGCCTTGCTTTGGTAGTACTGATACTGGAACAATATTTGTCATCCAGACCATGAACGCGGGATGTGTTTCTGTTTACTTATGATTTAATTTCTTCTAAGAACCACATCCTCCTACACTTTTATTTTTGAGATAGGGTCTCACTATGAAGCCCTGCCTCACTATATACTCACTTTGTAGATTAGGCTGGCCTTGAACTCACAGAGATCGCCTGGCTCAGCCTCTCAAGTCATGGGACTAAAGGTGTGCGCCACCACGCTAGGCCTAAGCCACCGACTCCCTGCATGCCCAGCATGCACGCTCACCCGAGCTTCATCCCTAACCCTCCTCTCTGAAGGGCAGTTTTGCTGCAAGTGAGGGTCTTTCTTCCCTTTAGCACTTTGAATGTATAAGTCCACCTTCTTCGAGGTTGCTGATGAGAAATGTGGAAACCAATGCATCGTATCCTTTCCTGGTGACAAGCCATTTCTCTTGGGTTGTCTCCAGTGCCCTTTGATGCTGGCTTTTGACAGTGCATAACAATGTGCTTTGGGCTAGATTTGTTTGAGTTTATTCTATTAGTCGTTGCTGAATTCCGCTAATGTTTGTATTATGTCTTTCATCAATTTGGGGGAGTTTGGGCCATTGTTTCTTCAAATAATCTATCTGTTCCTTTACTTTTTCTTCTCTTTCCGAAATTCTTACAATGCATATATCGGTCTACTTGCTGTCTCCTGAGACCTCTCTGTGTGTATCTTGGTGTGTACTTCATGTGTGTATCAGGGCCCGTTCCTCTAAGTACACAGTTCTGTGTGTGCCTCTGTCTGTATCTTGTATGTATGTGTGCATGCACTCTGTATACTTCTGAGTAAGTTCCTTTACATGTGCCTCTGAGCGCGCATATCTGAGTGTGTATCTATGTGTATACGTCTGAGCGTCTGCCTTGTGTGTGTACCTCTGAATGTGTTCCTCTGTATACCTCTCCATTGACCCCAGCAGGTGCCTTTGCACGTACTTCTCAGCATGTACCTCTGTATGAAGTGGGGGCAAGGCCATTATGGGCGCATACGGTCTCCTGAGACTCCCAGATTCTCTTCTTTCCCAGGACTCCTACTTGATAGACTACTTCCTCTATCTGAACCGGTACTTTGAAGTGGGGCCTCCGGTGTACTTTGTCACCACCTCGGGCTACAACTTCTCCAGTGAGGCAGGCATGAATGCCATTTGCTCTAGTGCGGGCTGTGACAGCTTCTCTCTAACCCAGAAGATCCAGTATGCCACCGAGTTCCCCGAACAGTAAGTGGTTGGTCTCCCCAACACCCGGACCTGCTCCCTCTCTGCCTCCTCTCCTGTTTTCTCTAACAAAGCCAGAGGCGGCCTAGGGCAGGGGTCAGGAAGGGGGTCACCACCAGCCTCACTTGCTCTACCCACTTCCCATTGTCTGGCTGCAGGTCTTATCTGGCAATTGCTGCGTCCTCCTGGGTGGACGACTTCATCGACTGGTTAACCCCATCCTCCTGCTGCCGCCTTTATGTCTTTGGCCCCAATCAGGGTGATTTCTGTCCTTCAACCGATAGTGAGTGTGGGGCTGCAGGGGGGCTCATGGTCCATTACAGCTTAGGGAAACTGAGGCCAGAGAAAAGAAAGAACCCACCAAATAGGGTTCAGGCAGGCTAGGCCCTTGGCATTCATCCCTGGGCAGCTCCTGGAGTATGATGCCTCTGCTTATAGCACATGCTGGTTGGGGGCAGTGGGCAGTGGGCAGTGGAGTGGAGCTGTAGCCCCGCATGTGGGGGTGCTGTGTATACAGCTGTGAGACAACCTATTTCTTGACCTAACTTCCCTTTCCTACCAGCCTGTAGGGACCAAGAGGGGCACATCTCCCCCAACAGGGGGTGGCAGGTGTGAACCCCTCAGAACGGGGGGGGACTTTGGATTGAGGCCCAGAGTGGGAGTCAGGACAGGAGTCTCCCTGTCTGGTGTGTCACTGCCCAGAGTCTCCCCTCCCCACAGCTTCCTTGAACTGTTTAAGAAACTGCATGGACTTCACTCTGGGCCCCGTGAGGCCCACGGCAGAACAGTTTCACAAGTACCTGCCCTGGTTCCTGAACGACCCACCCAACATCAGATGTCCCAAAGGGTAGGTTCAGAGAGTGACTCCTGCTGGAGATGGGGTAGACTTGTGGGTTCTGGAGATGGTGGACACAGGGGTGCAAGGCCTTCTTGGGGTACGGTGGGTGGGTCGACAGGACAAGGTCTCATCCCCACTAAGCCTTCACTCTGGCCTCCTCTTGGCAGGGGTCTAGCAGCGTATCGAACCTCCGTGAATTTGAGCTCAGATGGCCAGGTTATAGGTAAGTGTGGCCTAGTTTGGGGAGGAGGTCTCAAGTCAGCTAGCCGCTGTAGAGTCCCCCAAGAGAGCGCCTGTGTATGTGTCTGATTGGTGTCTGGTGTGTGTGTGTGTGTGTGTGTGTGTGTGTGTGTGTGTGTGTGTGTAACTGTAACTGTCCTGGGCCTGTCAGAAGGGAACCTACTTCCCAGTTCCATGAGCTAGGACTTCACCCACTCTTTGACCCCAAGTCCATGGCCACCGTGAATGTGTGGCAGCCTTTCTAACAGCTCATGTCATCCTTGGGAGCTACTCACCTTGACACATAGTCCACTCGTGTGTATCTCACGTGGGGATGTCGGCAGCAGCTGCTGGCTAAATGAGGTAGGAGGCCTCTGTGTAGTGGAATGAAGTGGGGGCGGCGGGGAGAAGGATCCAGTGTGCTGTCAGCGTAACACGGCAGGTAGCAGAACCAGGCAGCCCTCTGCAGGGAGGCAGCCCGCTGTAGTTACATCTGTACACACCAGTGTTGAGTACCCTGGTGGAGCTGTCGTGGGAGATGGGGGGAGCTTTGAATGAATTCCTTTTTTTTACTGAAACAACTCAAGAGTTGGAATTACTAGCTACAAACTGGAGCACGCTTATTCCATCCCCCCAGCTAACTCTTCTATAAAGTTCCTATCTTCCAAGAGGGTAGCCCACCTTACCCTGGTCTGCGTCTCTAGGGTGCAAAGGCAGACAGAACCCATGTGGACAAAAGGAAATCGGTGTCAAGCACAGAGGTGTGGGTTATTTCTTGGAGGGACCCCCCCCCACACACACACCAGAATCAGCATCATCAGGGAATGGTTAGATATGCCCAAGCCTTGCCTGAGACTTGCTAGACCATGTCTCTGGAGGGGGATGACCATCCCTCTGGCTGTGAGCTACCTGCACGTGCTCAGGTCTGACACCAGGCTTCACAGGCACCTAGTACACTAAGACTGTGTCTCATCTGTCTTGGTTTTCCCTGTGTGTGCATGGCCTCACTTCCTATGCCGACACAATACCTACTGAACACAATTAGCAAATGTTGTTTATTGTACTTATTGGCAGGATCCCTAAGCCACCGCTCTAATAATTCACTCATTTTTGTTTGCCTGTCTGCCTTTCTAGTCTGTTCCTATAGGAATAGGCAAACTGAAAAATTAATTTTTTTTGAGACAGGGTCTCACGTAGCCCACATTAGTCTATAACTTTGTATGTAAAATCCAGTGCATGTTTGGAAAGCATGCAAAGGAGGATTTGGTTTCGCCAGGGAAATCTCTTAGTTTTGTTTTGCTTTTGAGACAGTATCTCACTGTCTAGCTCCCGAGGCCCTCAAACTTGCAGTAATTTTCCTACCTTAGCCTGGGGGTACTGGGATGATAGGTTAGGTATGCAGGGGTGATTTCTTTAAAAATATTTATTTATGATGTACACATGTACGCAATGTTCTGCCTGCAGGCTAGAAGAGGGCACCATATCTCATTATAGATGGTTGTGAGCCACCATGTAGTTGCTGGGAATTGAACTCAGGACCTCTGGAAGAGCAGCCTGTGCTCTTAACCTATGAACCATCTCTCTCCAGCCCCCAAGGATGATCTTTTAGGCTTCATCTGTCAAGGTCAGTCTTGGTCTCAAAGAGTGGCAGGAGCAGCTAGGTGTGTGTGTGTGTATGTGTGAGTGTGTGTATATGTGTGTGTGAGTGTGTGTGTGTGTGTGTGTGTGTGTGTGTGTGTGTGTGTGTGTGTGGTGGGGCTGATACAAAGTGCAAATGCAGGCCTTGGGGCTGGAGAGATGACTCAGAGGTTCGGAGCACTGGCTGCTCTTCCAGAGGACCTGAGTCTGACTCCCAGCATACACATGGCAGCTCACAACTGCCTTTAATTCCAGTTACAGGGGATCCCGTGCCCTTTTCTGGCCTCCATGGGCACCAGGAATTCATGTGGTGCCCAGACATACATGCAGTCAAAACACTCGTACACGTTAGAAATAACTAAGAAAATGCAGGTATCTTGTAGAAAATCAATGAGGACTTTCAGGCAGCACTGGCAGAACCCTGAACCCAGTCTGATCACGCCAGTCTCTGGGATATGGGAGTGGGGGGACCTTTGACTCTCCTTCTCTCATGTGCTGGGGTCATTCAGCCTCCCAGTTCATGGCCTACCACAAGCCCCTGAGGAACTCACAGGACTTCACAGAAGCTCTCCGGACGTCCCGGTTGCTAGCAGCCAATATCACAGCTGAACTCCGGAAAGTGCCTGGGACAGACCCCAATTTTGAGGTCTTCCCCTACACGTGAGAACTGGGGGGGGGGGAGGCTGGGTCAGGGATGTGGGAGGTAACAGCCACACAAGAGATGTCGGGGGGCTGCAGGCTTTTGTGTGATCTTGAGGGGTGAGGACCACCGTGGTCTCTGGTGTCCCCCGGGGTAGCTCGGGACCTGCCTGTTTTTCACATGAGTCAGCATCCGGCTTAAACTTCCAAGTCTAATGTTTTCCTTCTGCGGTGGGATGGCTGGTGCTCTGACCATGCCCTGCTCTCTGGCAGGATCTCCAACGTGTTCTATCAGCAGTACCTGACTGTTCTCCCCGAGGGAATCTTCACTCTCGCTCTCTGCTTTGTGCCCACCTTTGTGGTCTGCTACCTCCTGCTGGGCCTGGACATGCGCTCGGGCATCCTCAACCTGCTCTCCATCATCATGATCCTCGTGGATACCATCGGCCTCATGGCCGTGTGGGGTATCAGCTACAACGCTGTGTCCCTCATCAACCTTGTCACGGTAACCTGCAGGATGGGTCACAGGTGGCCTTTGGCAGTTGGGGATTTGAACCCGTAAGCCCCCCCCCCCCCCCCCCCCCCCCCCCCCCCCGTTCTGTGTAGGCTCTAGACACCTGCCTGGCTCTCTTCCCTGTCTTCTGCCCTGTCAGCTGAAGTTCCCCTCTCCACCAATAGGCAGTGGGCATGTCTGTGGAGTTTGTGTCCCACATCACCCGGTCCTTTGCTATAAGCACCAAGCCTACCCGGCTGGAGAGGGCCAAGGATGCTACTGTCTCCATGGGCAGTGCGGTGAGTGGAGAGGGGTGGGTCATCCTGTGCTCCACCTGACCCTTTTGTCCTGCCTGACTCCTGGCTAAGACACCCCACATTCCACCCAGGTGTTTGCTGGCGTGGCTATGACCAACTTCCCAGGCATCCTCATCTTGGGCTTTGCCCATGCCCAGCTTATCCAGATCTTCTTCTTCCGCCTCAACCTCCTGATCACCTTGCTGGGTCTGCTGCATGGTCTGGTCTTCCTGCCGGTTGCCCTCAGCTATCTGGGTGAGTACCCGTGCCCACCCCTGCCAGGATGTCACAGTTATGAGTACTGACCAGAACGGTGCCTGCTCCCTTGGAAAACTCATGGAGTCCAGGCCGGGACTGTGACCTTTTGTCCTACTTTGGAAGCTTTTGTTTTTCATTTACTATGCTGCAAGCACCTTCCTTTGGGAACTGACTGCGTCTTCAGCACTGTTTGTGTGGCCCTGTTGCACTTCTCTGTTGGACTCTTAAACATGGCCTTTGTACACACACACACACACACACACACACACACACACACACACACACACACTTTCCTGGTGCTTCTGGGGATGGAACCCAGAATATTGTACGTGCTAGGCAAGTGCTGTACCACGGAGTCACATCTAAGCACAGAAATATATTTTACACTAAGAAATGATGTGTGTGGGCACACAAACAAACATATGTAACTAGGGCAAGTATCTTACAAAATAGTACTTTCTCTTAATACACGAAGCATTCTGATATTTTTGGTTCTTTCCTATCATTGATTTGAAAATTCTGGTGTTGATCTACAAGTTTCATTTAATGATTCTTTAGTGGGTAAAAACTCATAGTTTGAAAACACTGTCCCATTGTATGCTCTATCATCTGTTTTGTTTTTTTGTTGTTGTTGTTGTTTTGTTTTCTATCTTCTTTTTTTTTTTCTTCCGCCCTTCACCTGGGTAGGAATCATGGGCAGCAGGCAAAGGGGAGCTCTTCAGTGTTTAGCAGGAGGAGCAGCAGTGGCAGAAGGCAGCTGGAAACAACAGCCGTGGCACCTTTAGTACTACAGCCCGTATGGAGGCCTTGGGTGTGAGGACCCTGAGCCCCTGTGGCCTCCGGTGTTACTGCCCTCAGCCCAGGCTGTTGACACCTTTGGCCCTGGGGACTTGACTCCGCGGGCAATCTGAGCATTCAGCTTCTCTTCTGCAGTTCCTCAACGTCTAGTTCTCTGCCCTCCCCTGCCATCTCTTCCCACCTGTCACCCTTCCTCCTGCCGTGGCTGCTCTAAAGCTGCACCGTGGCTTCAAGTAGCCTGCCGCCCCGCTGCTGTCTCTGCTTGAGCGGCTACCGGACCCATGCTACTTCCTTTGTCCCGTTACCAGCTCAGCCACACTTCTAAAAGGAAGAAAAGGTCACCCAAGAGGGTGGGCACGCAAAAGGCCTGAAGTTGCAACACCAGGGGGCAGCCCGTGAGACTGCCTGAGTAGACTTGAGCAGCTTGCTTAGGGAGCAAGAGGTGTGTTTGGGTCAATCACAGTTCATATGTTTGGAATCACAGACTTGCTTCTTAACATCAATTGTCATCACTGAGTCTCTGTTTTGGGCCAATCGCAGCTTTCCCTCTTAGCATCAGTGACATCACTTGGCTTGTGCTCTGGGCCAGTCACAGCCTTGCCTCTTAGCATCAGTTACAACAGTTCTCCGGCATCACCACCAGGGGGCATGTTCATCTTACGGCAGGTGCAGGCATAAGGGTTGTCTGGCTGATCGTTCGTTCTCAAGGCAGCCAGAATAGCAAGGAAGAAACCCACAGCTGCTGCTTAGGAAGGCGGATTGCCCCATCCTGCAACATCTTTGCTTATTTACAGGGACACAAACGGCAGAAGGAGTGCTTACAACATAGTCTAAAGAACTTATTAGAACAAATAATGATTTTAGTAGATTTGAAATGGCGCTTCACAGTGCTTAACTCCCAAGCACTCCAGGGAGAAGTGTGCTTCCCTCATCTGTCTCACGTCCTCCACCGTTTATTCAGGTAGCTTGCAACGGCTGGTCATTAGATTATTTCTGACTCTGTGCTAATCTTGCCAGCACTGCAGTGACTGACCTCGTGGCTGAAACTCTGACCTTGTCATCCAATATTTCCTTGGAGAAAACCTGGGAATGTTGACTACCGATGCCAGTTGTTAATACTTGCCACAACGTCAGTTTATTGTTGGGTGACACTCGAGTCACCTCTAGGATCTCACTGGCCATCTTTGGGGAGGAGAATGCATGTGTTAGGGACAGTAAGTACCAGTCCTGGGAGATGCTCCAGCCGTGGCCTGGAAGTTTCTAGACTGACAGAGGCTGGGGAGCACCAAGGACCTTACAAGCCTCCCATCGTCCTAAATGCTGTACTGTAGCCAGGAACACCCTGAAACTGGGGGTGTGTAGGCAGAGACCAGAATGGCACATAGTAAGTACAGAGCCCTGGTTGCCCTGTGCCTTGGGTTTGTGGTACAGAGTAAGGAACGGGTGCTTCCTAGAGCAGGGTTGCTTGTGGTGTTAGTACCAGACTGCCCCAGGAAGGCAGGGACGGAGAGACTGGCTGTCAGGGATGCCCTTGAGGGAGCAGGCCTGCTGAGGCCGACGAGCGATGGGGGTGGCAACGCCGGCGGAAATGGCTGTTGGCAGGGTGAGGCGGGAGCAAAGGGGTGCAGGTGAAGTCGGAGCCCAGCTCCCACTTTCTGGATTTGCATCCCTGGCCGGGACGCCTGTGCCATCCGCATGCCTCTCTGACTGTGGGTGCATGTTCTTCTTTCTCTTCTGCAGGACCTGACGTTAACCCAGCTCTGGTACTGGAGGAGAAACTAGCCACAGAGGCAGCAGCAGCCCAAGACCCCTCCTGCCTGAAGAACCCCTTCCCTGCTAATGACTATGTTAATCACAGCTTTGAAGAATTTACCCCTGGAGCTAGTGCTGCTGGCTCTGTGCCCAAAAGTGGCCAAAAATTTTAATGGGGTAGGAGCTCATCCGGGCTCCGTGGCTCTTGCTGATGAGGGGACAATGAAGGTCTTCCCTCTGGTGGTCCTCAAGGCTCAGGGGAAGTTGTTCCGGAAAAATGGCTGGCATTGTGGCTATGAAGCAGCCATCAGCATTGGCAGTGGCTCCCCTGCTCCCACACCAGGTCCCCGAGGTCTCGGTCTGCGTGAGATTGCCTCCTCCTTCTGGTCCAGGGTCCTGGAGCTGCTGAGGATGTTTGTCTCGGGCTCAGTCAGGGTATATATTTCTCACCCAGCCTTTCCTTCCCTTATCAAAAATATCTCCAGGGGCTGGAGCGATGGCTCAGTGGTTAAGGAGCACTTGTTGCTCTTACAGAGGACCCAGGTTCAGTTCCCAGCACCCACATAGTGGTTCACAACCATCTACAACTCAGTTCCAGGGGATGTGACACCTTCTTCTGACCTTCACAGGCACCAGGCACGTGTGCGGTGCACGTATTTTATGTACAGGTGGAACACTCATATGCACAAAACAAATAAATCTAAAAAAGATTTTTAAAACAATCTCCAGGACCAGTGAGATGGGTCAGTGGGTAAAGGGGATTGCCAGGAAGCTTGATGACCTGAGCTTGATCCCTGGAACTCACGTGGTGGAAGGAGAGGACCAATTCTCCCCCATGCTCCTCTGACTTCCACGTTGCCTGCAGTGGCACCCCCACCCCCACACAATAAATAAATAAAATATAATACAAAATTTAAAAGATCCCCATTCCAGGATGGGGTCGTAGCTTAGTGGTAGAGCAGCAGCACGCTAGCCTTGTGTACATGGGGTGCTGCGTTCCATCCTCAGCACTGCAGAGGGGAGTGAGCGAAGGAGAGATCCAAGCTTGTCCCTAGCATGATACTACTTTCAGTAACATTAACTAACTGCCTTTGTTAACAGCACCCTTGCGAACATTAAAAAACAAATCTCCATTCCACGACAGCAAGTCTTTTAACATTCGCATCCTGAGAACAGAGAGTGACCCCACCTTGGGCTGTGACATTGTAGGAGACCAGGAAAGACAAAGAGTACCCACTGTTCTTTCTGGCCTGAGGAGGAGGTTCTCACAGCACTCTGGTAGTGGTTGATCTCATGTGGAATATGGCATTCAGTTTGGCCTGTAGCTTCAGCAACTGTTAAGCCTGTTAGAGGCAGCTGCGTGTCTGTGTGAAGGTTCCAGCCTGGGTCTTGTGCCTGGAGCACAGGCCCATTGGCTTCACATTGGCTTCAGTCTGCCCAACCTGGCAGAGACAGAGAAGATGCCTTGTTCTTTGAGAAGCACAGACTGCTTAATAAACGTTTGGTGAACAGAAGTGGTGTTTCCATCACATGTCCTGCTCTGGCTCCCTCAGGGTTAAGGATAATTTTTGCATATGATACAATGATACGTGTATCGGGGACTGATTTATGGAAATATTATGTTTTGTTATATTTTTCCTTTCTATTTTCAAGAAAATAGAGAGCCTGTGATGGGTGGCAGGACTGTCCATCACCATAAGGTGCAGGGTTATAACACGGGGCTTTTCCCTCACCTGGTGTAGCCTGTGAAGTAGGCACATTTGGAGAACCTGCTGGAGAATCCCAGGGTGCATTCAAGATTGAGGGACCCATTCAGTAAACTACCAGCTCTGAAAAGGTGCTCTGCCAGGGTGAGATTGCCAAGGAACATTCCAGATGAATGTTTTGAGCTTTTTCATTCCCTGTGTCCAGCTCCTATTTAGCTGAGGAGCAGCTGTGGTAGATGGAAAGGAGTCAGCACCTCTGGGACCTCCTCTCTGCTTTCCGGTCTGCCAGCTCCCTGTGTATCTCACTTGACTAGCTGATCTTGAAGAGGGTCACTGGCAGGCCAGGAAGGATGGGAAATCTGGTTAAAGGAGATCAGCCACAGAATGGAGGTTGACTCTCACAAGTCACATTGTTACAACTCCACAGCTGCAGGATAAACAAATGGGTTTGAAGAACAAAATAGATTCTAACACTGACATTTCAAATCAGGGAAGAACAGACCGTTCAAGTATACGGCATGAGAGCAGCTATTGAGTCGTCTGGATCAAAATAAAGTATCTGCATGTCACATCACACTAGCAATAAAAATGGACAAATCAACTGTCCTATGCATGCTACTGGGGAAGAAAATCCCACTCTGTCTTATATCCAGCTGTGACCCTAGCCAGCTATAACTGGCCTAGCAAGGTCCGTCCACAGGTGCAATAGTGACATGAAATTTGTGGGACTAACCAACCAATTTCTAATTTTTTTTTTTTTTGGTTTTTCGAGACAGGGTTTCTCTGTGTAGCTTTGCGCCTCTCCTGGAACTCACTTGGTAGTCCAGGCTGGCCTCGAACTCACAGAGATCCGCCTGGCTCTGCCTCCCGAGTGCTGGGATTAAAGGCGTGCGCCACCACCGCCCGGCCCAATTTCTAATTTTTAAAAACGAACCTTTCCATTGATTGATTGATTGATGTATATGCACGTTTAACTTGCATTTATGTATTTGCACCATGTGCATCCCTGGTGCCTGTGGATGCCAGAAAAGGGCATCAGATCTCCTGGAACTGGAGTTACAGACTGTTGTGAACCACCATGTGGGTTCCTCTTCAAGGAGCAGCAATACCCTTAACTGCTGAGCTATTTCTTTTTTTCCTTTTTTTTTTTGGGGGGGGGTTTCGAGTAGGGTTTCTCTGTGTAGCTTTGGAGCCTTTCCTGGAACTCACTCTGTAGACCAGGCTGGCCTCGGACTCACAGAGATCCACCTGCCTCTGCCTCCTGAGTGCTGGGATTAAAGGCGTGCGCCGCCGCCGCCGCCGCCGCCGCCGCCGCCACCACCACCCGGCCTGCGGAGCTATTTCTCCACCACCACCCCCCGCCCCCAATAAACCACTTTCTGATTGCAGTCAGCTCTGCAAGGTAGAACACATACATGCCTGGTACCATAAACTGGGCTAAAAACTTGTAGCTGACTAGGCCATAGGCCATAAGGGAGAACCTAGTATTATTACTCTGTTAAATGGACAGTTACAGACTTCCCTCCAAGTCCTCATCGTTATACTCATAGATCAGTGCATCTCTGAACTTTCATCAGAGAAGCTTCTTTTTGAAGTTGGTGGTGATGAATACAGCCAACAACAACTGGTCAACAGGCAGAGAATAAGAGATTTTAGAATGCTCAACTCTAAGCGGGACGTCTACATCACGTCCCCTCCCTACAAGGCTCAGAGATCATCATGGAAAAGAGGGCAGAAAGACTGTAAGAGCCAGAGGGAGTGGACCACTGTAGGGAAACAGTATTTGTCACTGGATAGAACCATTGCACGCATGAGCTCACAGGGGCCGGGACAGCAGGCACAAGACCTGTGTAAGAACAAGCCAGCCCAAATCTTAGCATGGATGAGGGAGGGGCTCACCAAGTGTCACCCCACCTGTGGCGGTATTGGCAACTGATGGCTACATAAACAGTCACTTTTCTCCAGGGATGCAGGCTCTGAGAAGCTACCCATGTTCCAGGAGATGGTCCCACATCCATGCACACATAGGCAGCACTGAATGGATATAAAACTTCAGAGAAAGAGAGAGGCTGTGGGGAGAGAGAGTATGCACAGGCAGCTGGGAGGGAAAACTTGTGTGGAGTTGGGGAGGTTCTGGAGGAAAGAGAATAGAGGGTAGATTGTATCTGAACACACTATATCTATGTATGAATATTAAATAAAATATTTTAAAGCCCACAAAACTGTACAACCTCTAGAAAAAAACCATAGGGGAGCCTATATAATCTTGGGAGGGACACTATTCCCAAGCATAGACCCAGAAGCCATAAAGTAAAAGCAAAAGATCTGCCCAAATTAAAACAGAAACCTTCTGTGATACAAACCAAAATAAACAAAATAAAGTCCTAAGGAAAGCTGGGAGATGTGTGATGGTGGAGAGAGACTGCTGAGGACACATGATGTTGACCTCTGGTCTCCAAATGTAGATATGTGGGCAACCCTCCTACATGTGTGCATTCATCATATATACCTATACCCCCCGCCACCAGCTAATAATAAAAAGATAAGCTGCTTTTGTTGTTGTTGCTTGATAGCTCATTACTTCTTATGGCTGAATGGTTTTCATTTCATGAATCATTTCCCCAGTAACGGCCACTGGGCTGCTTCTTATTTTTAGCAGTTATGAGGAAGGCAGTGGACATTTCTTTACAGGTTTTCATATGATCATAGTTTTCAAACAAGTTGGGCAAATGTACAGTAGTGTGTTTGCTGCACTGTAAAATTACGTTTAGCTTCCTACTCCATTTTAGGTTTTTCTTTTCTCCTTCCTTTCTTCCTTCCTTCCTTTCTTTTTTTTTTTGACAAGGTCTTCATTGACCCTGGATTTGGCTAAACTGAATGTTCAGTACACCTGCCTTATGGACCCTCCTACACTGCCTCTGGAACACTGGGTTGTTATTATTATTATTATTATTATTATTATTATTATTATTATTGAGACAGGATTTCTCTGTGTAGCTTTGAAGCCTGTCCTGGATCTCACTCTGTAGACCAGGCTGGCCTCGAACTCACAGAGATCCACCTGCCTCTGCCTCCCGAGTGCTGGGATTAAAGGCATGTGCCACCACCGCCCGGCTTGGGCACTGGGATTATAAGCACACATTGTCACACAGGGCTTTTTACATGGTTGCTCATGATCAGAACGCAGATCCTCATGGTTGAACAGAAAGCACTTCAGTAACTGAGCCCCCTCCCCAGTCTCCTTTAGTCAGAAATGTCTTCATGGCACAGTTATCCGCACACTTACTGCACTACTTGTGTATTCTTGCTAATCCTCGGATGCCGAATACAAGCAAACATTGTTTCAGACCATCACTCATCTCCCAGCTTTCTTGAGGACTTTGTTTTATTGTTAAATAATCTTCTTTGCTTTTTGAATGGGCAATTCATGCAAATGCTTTCATAAGTAACCTTCCTTCCTATTTTGTATTCTATTTCTCCTTGATTCTCTTTTTTGAACGAGAGTGTCATGTGGCTCAGGCTCAGAACTCTATGTAGCTCTGGTTGGTATTCAATTTCTTTTTTTTTTTTTGGTTTTTCGAGACAGGGTTTCTCTGTGTAGCTTTGCGACTCTCCTAGAACTCACTTGGTAGCCCAGGCTGGCCTCGAACTCACAGAGATCCGCCTGGCTCTGCCTCCCGAGTGCTGGGATTAAAGGCGTGCGCCACCACCGCCCGGCTGGTATTCAATTTCTAATCCTTCTGCTTCTACAAACAGATGCTAGCATGACAGATGTGTACCACTCTGACTGACTTCTGATCTCTTCCTTGTGATACTTTAGTTATTAAAGAGTTATTCAAAGTGGCTGGGAAGATTGCTCAGTGGTTAAAGCACTTGCCATGCAAGTGTGGGGACTAGAATTCAGACCCCAGAATCCAAGTAATGATCAATGCTTTCCTTCTTTCTCTCTTTCTTTCTTTTCTTCCTTTCTTCCTTCCTTTCTTTCTTTCTTTCTTTCTTTCTTTCTTTCTTTCTTTCTTTTCTTCCTTTCTTCCTTCCTTTCTTTCTTTCTTTCTTTCTTTCTTTCTTTCCTTCTCTCTTTCTTTCTTTTTTTTTTTTTAGGTTTTTTGAGACAGGGTTTCTCTGTGTAGTCTTGGTGCCTGTCCTGGATCTTGCTCTGTAGACCAGGCTGGCCTCGAACTCACAGAGATCCGCCTGCCTCTGCCTCCTGAGTGCTGGGATTAAAGGCGTATGCCACCACTGCCCAGTGATCAATGGTTTCTTGTAATTCCAGTCTCAGAAGGCAGACAGGAGATCATTAGAGCAAGCTGGCTGGTGAGCCTAGCCATAGCAGCAAGCTCTGTGTTTGACTGAGAGACCCTGCCTCAGTGAGTGGGATCGGAGAGTGAGCAAAGGTGATCTCCGACATTAGCTTGGACATTTTGCATGTGAGCAAGCGCTCTTGACCATGAAGCCATTTTTTTCAGCATCTACACGATTTCTTTTTAAAAGCTTTTTGCCAGGCAGTGGTGGTGCACATCCTTAACCCCAGAGGATCTCTGTGAGTTCTAGGCCAGCCTGATCTCCAGAGCGAGATTCAGGACAGCAGGAGCTATACAATAAATCCCTGTCTTAAAAAAACAAAACAAGGGGTCGGGGACTTAGCTCTGTAGTAGAGCGCTTGCCTAGCAAGCGCAAGGCCCTGGGTTCGGTCCTCAGCTCTGAAAACAAACAAACAAACAAACAAACAAACAAACAAACCAAAAGAAAAGTTTGTAGACAGCAAGCAGCACTAATTCGACTCAGTGAATTACCTCAAAAAAAAAGGTGGGGGTGAACAAAAGAAAAAGAGGCAGGAGAACATATGGGGGGCTGGGGAGGGAGGGAGGAATTGGGGTATACATGTATTAAGTTGTCAAAGAATAAAATATATTCTTTAAAAGTATGTTGACATGTGGTATGTGTATATGATTATTTACAAATTAATCAGTTTAAGCATTGATTTCCAGTATAGTAAATAATGATGAGTAAGACATAAAAGTTCTTTGGATTTGCTGGAAGGTGGTGGCACACGCCTTTAATCCCAACACTTGGGAGGCAGAGGCAGGTGGATCTCTGTGAGTTCGAGGCTGAAGCCCACCTGGGCTACAGAGTGAGTTCCAGGAAAGGCGCAAAGCTACACAGAGAAACCCTGTCTCGATAAACCACACAACAACAACAACAACAAAACATATTCGGGCTGGGGATGTCCCTATTGGTAGAGCACTTGCCTAGCAAGCTCATGACCCTGAGTTTGATCCCCAGTACCAAAAAAAAAAAAAAAAAAGTAAAATAAGTATTTTGCTCTGTTGGTGGCATTTGCTTTTACTCCTAGCACTTGGGAGGCAGAGGCAGGCAGATTTCTGTGAGTTTGAGGACAGTTTGATGTACACAGCAAGTTCCAGGCCAGCCATGGCTGCATAGTGAGACACTGTCTTTTTTTTGTTGTTGTTGTTGTTTTTTGTTTTTCGAGACAGGGTTTCTCTGTGTAGTTTTGGAGCCTTTCCTGGATCTCACTTTGTAGACCAGGCTGGCCTTGAACTCACAGAGATCCACCTGGCTCTGCCTCCCGAGTGCTGGGATTAAAGGCATGCACCACCACAAATGTCTGGCTTGAGACACTGTCTTTAAAAAAAAAGTATATTAATTTGTAGATGTTAGTCTAGTAGAGGTGCAATTCATTAAAACAAAGTTTTTGTTTTTGTTTCTAGACAGGATGGAATGGAGCTCAAGCTGGCCTTGAGCTGACTATGTAGGTGAGTAAGTAAACCTTTAATTTCTGGTTCTGTCTCCACCTTCTTAGTGCTGGGTTTACAGGTGTGGGTCACTACATACAATTTATGCAGTGCTCAGGGCCTCCTGCACATTAGTCACACACCTTACCAATTTAGCTACATTGAATGACAACAAGAAATAAAAAGGACATGACTGCTTCTAGGTCTGGTGGAGGAGAAGGTTTACTGTAGGTACGAGGGAGAGCCCGGCCAGAGGTAGAGGCATCTGGGAGAGTCCAGGGTGGATGTAGTTGGATTTTTTCTTTGGGCTGCCAGCTCACAAATAGTGACACAGAGACTTATTATTAAGTATAAAACCTTGGCCTTAGCTTAGGCTTGTCCCACTAGCCCTTTTAAAAAAAATTTTTTTAAAAAGATTTATTTATTTATTTTATGTATATGAGTGCTCTATCTGCATGTACAACTTTGTCAGAAGAGGGCATCAGATTCCACTAGAGATGGTTGTGAGCCATCATGCGGTTGCTGGGAATTGAACTCAGGACCTCTTGAAGAGCAGCTGGTGCTCTTAACCTCAGTCATCTCTCCAGCCCACCTCCCCCTAGCTCTTATAACTTAAATTAACCTGCTTTTATTAATCTACATTTTACCATATGACTTTTTACTTTTCTTTCATTCTATATGTCTGACTCCCTCCATGTCTGTTGGTGTCTCCCCTGCACCTCGATTATCTCCTCCTACTTCCTGTCTCTGTCTGGAAGTCCCATTTATACCTCCTGCCTAGCTATTGGCCATTGAACTCTTTGTTAAAGGAATCACAGCAATGTATCTTTACACAGTGCACAAATACCCCACAACAAGGGGACATGACCGGTAGACTGAACAGGGCCATGGGGACAGGAAGGAGGGGAGAGGAAGACAGAGTAACTTGGAGTCAAGTGGTCAAAAGGGCAAAAAGGACCTTGTAACCAAAATAGGTGGGTTATACAGGAATCAGAGAAGCAGGGAGAAGGGAAGTCCAGCTGTTTAGGGTAGGGGGCAGGGTATGGCAGCCAGGAGGATCCTGTAACAGGTAGGGACTGAGGGAGACTGGTGGCCAGGGTCTACTTTGATACGTTAATAGGCATCTTAGCCATTTGTCTGGGGTTTGAGGTCTAATATATGTCCCTAGCCTTTTATTGATTTATTTGATTGAAACAGGCTTTCACTCTGTAGCCCGGGTTGGCCTAGAATTTGGATGCCGGGATTACATGTATGAACTACTACATCTGTGACAATTTTACACAATTTTTTTTTTTTTTTCGAGACAGGGTTTCTCTGTGTAGCTTTGCGCCTTTCCTGGAACTCACTCTGTAGCCCAGACTGGCCTTGAATTCACAGAGATCCACCTGGCTCTGCCTCCCAAGTGCTGGGATTAAAGGTGTGGGCCACCACCGCCGGGCCCACAAATGTTTTCTTAAAATGTCTATATTCAGAGCCTCAAAATAATCTTTGAATCTGCTTTATACTGATTTATAGTACTCTGACAATCACTTATTGCAAATGACATGTGTATACACACACATGCACATACTATACATGCAGATACAGACATACACATTTTACAACGCCATACTTCTTTTTCCTTCGTTGAGCTTTTCACACTTTTCTTATCCTTTCAGGTCACCTTGAATTTCTTCTGGTGCAACGTTCTGAGTCTCACTCGTAGCTCTGTTATTAATATAAATTTTATACAACCTTATGATAACATTTCTTTCCTTTTCTCTGGCTCACAAACAAAACGTGGTTGCCCTGGTTTTAAGAAAGCGCCCGGGATACCAAGGCAGGAATTCAATCCAGAAAGAAGGCTCCCAGATCACGTGACAACACCTCCAGCGAACACGTCATATTGCCGTCACCCAATGCTTCCGCCCTCTTCAAATATGGCTGGTAAGCTCTCTCTGCACCGCAACTGTGGCCGTTTTTGCGTGTAGGAACCATACTGGAGTACATACCAGTCTCCTTTAGGCAGATATCGCGGCGGAGGAGATCCAGCAGGGCTGCAAGGAAGACGGTTTGTTACCGTCAGTAATCACAAGCGCGGACCGGAAGTTTTGCGTCCTCGCTGTCCGGGGGAGCCGTTAGGCACGCACGCCGGAAGGGGCCAATTGGCCAGTGTGAGGCGGTGCCCACTGAGTTCGCGTCCCTCGGGCAGCGGAGCCATGGAGCCCGGGGCTGCTGAGCTTTATGACCAGGCCCTGCTGGGCATCCTGCAGCACGTGGGCAATGTCCAGGACTTTCTGCGCGTGCTCTTCGGCTTTCTCTACCGCAAGACCGACTTCTACCGTCTGCTGCGCCACCCTTCGGACCGCATGGGCTTCCCGCCCGGGGCCGCGCAGGCCCTGGTGTTGCAGGTGAGGTGGGGAGCGAAGGGCCATTGGGGTCCTGCCAGACCTTATTTCAGTTCCATTTCCCGGCGCAAGACCTGCCCCTGGCTCGCGTCCTATGCCCCGACCAGCGCCACTCCTCATCCCAACCCTTCACCTTTTGCGGTTCTCCCTGGAGTGCCAAAGGTGATTAGGTGATTTTGTGTAAATGGCCAGGCGTTATCTGATGCGCGAATCCGTTGTCAGGGATGCTCGGTGCTTTGGGAACAGTCTGGGTTTGTGCGGGACATTCTTAGGTGTTGGAAGCTGCCAGCCTGCTTTTGAGGGCCTCTGAGCATCCTGTGGGCATCCCCAGAATGGTGCAGTGGATTTTGCTAGGATGTATTCAAACCGTGCAGGCGGGAGGGGAAGGACTTTCACAGCGGCAGAAACTTGACTATTTGAGAACTCCCGGGCTCAGGAGGTGGCAAGAATGACCGGTATGTATTGATTGGTGGGTGTGGCCGCTTGCCAGTGACCCACAAAGTCGAATACAATCGAAATGATGAGGAAATTTACATTTGGATTCAAATCTGTAAGTTCCAGGTTAAATTGTTTTTGAAGCGTTACTAGTTACTGACTGAAGTTGTCTGGACACCTTTTTAAAGTTGTTTTGTTTTGAGATGGGTTTTGCTATGTCGCCCTGGTTGGCTTGGAACTTGCCAGGTAGATCAGGATTTCTTTGAACTTGTGGTCCTCCTTCCTCTGACTCTCCAGAGCTGGGATTGTTGACATTGTTGAGTGTAGTAATAAGCAAACATTTAATGAGTATATTTAACACTCAGCTGTAATATAGGCTCTGATGATGTAGGTATTTAAATAATGGCCCGTCTACTCATACATGGTTCAGAAAATAAAACACAGAGGGTAATAGAGAACTCTGCTAGCTCTCTGTGTGGTAGAGCGGTTTGGAAGGAAGTAATAGAGATGATAGGAATTTGAGAAAATTTTGTAGGAAAGGTTAGATTTTTGGTGAGATTAAAAGTATTTCAGGTGTGTGGTTTGCCATGCCTTTAATCCCAACACTTGGGAGACAGGCAGGCAGATTTCTGTGAGTTTGAGGTCAGCCTGGTCTACAAAGTGAATTCCAGGACAGCTAGTGCTACACAGAGAAACCCTGTCTCGAAAAAACAAACAAACAAACAAAAAAAAAAAATTGAGGGGAGCATCAAGCTTGCCTGTTAGGATCTGATTCTCTGGCACCTACCAAGTGCTTCACGTTACCTTCTGAAGTTTTCCTCCGGTCTGTGGGCTTCTCAGGTGTTACTTGCCTCCGTTCCTCAGTGGAGGAAAGCGAAGCTTAGGATGTTCTGGTAACTATCAACCTGATGGTGAGGTGATAGGTGGGGTGGCCCCCTCCTGGGGCTCAGTTTCAGAACGGAAACTGAGAGTTACTGTTCGGCCTCATCAGTGTGGCCCAAGTGCCATTTGAGTAATTGGAGAGTGTGAGAGGTAGCTGAAATGGAGCCTTCTGTCACTTTATAATGAAGTCTGGCCTCTTGATCGTCATAGTCTATGAATTTGATGTGTCAGTTCAACAAGGGTAAATGGTGGGACAAGAACCTCACTCAGCTATTTCCTCATAGCTGGAGCTCATGACTTCAGTTTCCTGATTCCCCATCTTCCTGGTTTGTCATTTAGCTGTGCCATAGTAGGGTGGACACTTCTGTTTTGGTTGTAGAGAGGTAGCTGGTATTTGACTTTCTGGTGCAGTACATCTTAGTTTAGCTTTAACACAATTTGAGGGTTGGTTCTTATTTATCTGATGAACTGACAGGTAATGCATTTATTTACCCTATAACGTTATAAAACAGCTACCTCTTAGAGATAGGTTACAGTGTGGTGACCATCTATTGGAGGTCGGGAGCAGGAGCAGAGGAAGGGGAAGGATGGATCAAAGATTCCAAGGTTCCAGATCTGGGTGACTGGAACAGTGACACTCATTTACTGCACTGTCGCTTGGATTGGGAGGCGGGGGTTAGTCTTTTTAGTTTTTGACTTAGTTGAATTTGATATTGGAGACAAGTTCTGACCTATAAGCTGTTGAAATTGAGGAACTGGATATTGTTGGAGATGGAGGGATGGTGAGGTCTGAAGAAGAGCCCAAAGTAGAGGCTAGTTGGGGACCAGTCACAGTGAAGGCACTGGGTTTCACTGAAGCCAAGGGGACAGTCTTTTTTTTTTTTTTTTTTCTTCTAGACAGGGTCTCTCTGTTGTTTGTTTTTTTGTTTTTCTAGACAGGGTCTCTCTGTTTTTGTTTTTTGTTTTTTTTTTCTAGACAGGGTCTCTCAGTGTAGCCCTGGCTGTCCTGGATCTCGCTCTAGACCAGGCTGGCCTCGAACTCACAGAGATCTGCCTGCCTCTGACTCCTAAGTGCTGGGACTAATGGCATGTGCCATCACTGCCTGGCTGGAACAGTCTTAAGCAAAGGTTTAAGACTTTTTTGTTTGTCTTCACCCCTTTTCCCACCCCTGGTTATTCTCAACCGTCAGCCTTGACCAAGAGCCTTTTTTTTTTTCTTTTCAGTATCTACTTTCAAACAAGTATTTATGTTCACTGTTTTGGACCCTGGGAAACAGAGCCTTTTAAACTGATGTGAGTTTTTGGATTTTTTTAAATTTAAATTTTATTTATTTATTTTTGAGAAAGGGTCTTAACCATGTAGCCTTGACTGTCCTGGAACCCAGTATATAGACCTCAAACAAAAAGAGATCTGCCTGCCTCTGCCTCCTGAATTTGGGATTAAAGGCGTGTGCACCATGCCCTGCCAACCAAGAAACTTTTAAAAAGAACAGATTTTCACCCAGATGTAGTGTCGCACGCCTTTAATCCCAGCTCTTGGGAGGCAGAGGCAGGCAGATCTATGTCAGTTCCAGAGAAACCCTGTCAAACTGTTAAAAAAGGTACATATTCTTGAATATTTTCATTGGGTAGATCATAGTGAATCTCAAGGATCTGCTTTTTTTTTTTTTTTTTTAAATTTACAGAAAGCCTTTGGCAAGAGGCTTGTAAGGTGGGTTCAATATTGGTAAGGGAGTGTGATGTGAAGTGTGATGTGAAATATCAGTCAGATAGAGTGATGTAATACCCATACAGCATTAGCTCATTTTACTCATCTGCTTCTTTTTCTTTTTCTTTTTCTTTTTCTTTTTTTTTTTTGTTTTTTTGTTTTTTGAGACAGGATTTCTCTGTGTAATCCCCTGGCTTTCCTGGAACTTACTCTGTAGTGCTAGGATCGAAGGCCACCACCCCGGCTTCTGCTTGTTTTTCTGTTTCTGATTCAGATCCCAAGATTCCTTCCTGTGACTTTCTCTCTCCAAGAGTGATACCCAGAGTTTCTGTGAATATAGGCAGAGAAAGTTTGGATGTGTTTCTGTGGAACTTGAGAGTTTCCTGCTGATATTTTGGGGAGTGAACTCTTGGTGTATGTGCTAGTTTGTTTTTTTTTTTTTTCTTTTTTTTCTTTTTGGTCAACTTAATACAAAGCAAGTTATATAGAAGGAGGTAGTTTCAGTTGAGGAAGTCTGCAGGGCATTTTCTTGATTAATGATTGATGTGGGAGGGCCCAGCCCATTGTGGGCAGTGCCACCCTGGTCAGGCGGTCCTGGGGTGTATAAGAAAGCAGGCTGAGCAAGTCAGTGGGTGTCATTCTTCCGGCCTCTGCTTTGGTTTCTGCTTTGATTTCACCTGGTGATGGACTGTAACCTCTAAGTCAAATAAGCCTTTTCCTCCCCAGGTTGCTTTTTTTGATGATGATGTTTTTATCACAGCAATAGAAAACAAATACAGTGCTACCAGTGTAAGGCATCTCACTTTTCCCTTCTAAGCTCTTTTTTGTTTTTTTTAAGAGACAGGGTTTCTCTGTGTAGCCTTGGCTTACTTTTGTCTTCCAAGCAGTACTCAGACACCGCTAGTGAATTCTTACCGTATCCTAGCCCTTTGGAGCTGGTGATTCCCACCCCTGTCCCAGGTCGTTCCCACAGCCTTTTCTAGCTCTGCCTCATGCAGGGCCTCTTTCTTTTTCTTGGTGATCTACTCTTGGAGCTGTGGCGGTTCCTGCAGTGGCCCTTATGGAAGACATACTCCTTCTCTAAGGGTCAGATGAGAACCTGGTCCTCCTCCTTCTGTAGATTTCTTTCTTCAGAAGTGTTCCTTCCCACTACAGTCTGTGACAGGCCATCAGAGCGCTAAGATGCTCACCTCTTGTGTAGGAGTTCTCTCAGTGTGAGTCTGTATTTGTGTAGTGCTGAGGGTGGAACCCATTGCCCCTGCTCATGACTGAGCAAGCATTCTTCTGACCTATATCCCCAGCCCTTTAGATGTAACTATTTAATGGTCCCAGCACCTTCACGGATGTGACTATGTCCCAGAAAAGGTTAAGGGTGTGTCTGCATGTCAAAGGAGAACTGTCAGGCCCTGATCTTGGGAAATCTGTGTTAGAAGTCCCAGGTGATGGGAGTGAGTTTGCATACCTTGTGCACTGTAGGCCCAGAGTGGGTGTTGATGGAATTGAGTACTCATTCCTATATCCTCTCAGCTGTCATGGCAGAAAGGGGAGCAGTAGTCTGGTAAGCCTGAGTGCATTTTGTAGATTGAAGTTGAGTTACATTTTCACCTTTCACTTTTTTTTTTTTTGAGACAGGATTTCTCTGTGTAACGGCCCTAGCTGTCCTAGAACTCACTTTATAAACCAGGCTGGCCCCTAACTCACAGAGATCCTCCTGCCTCTGCCTCCTGGGTGCTGGGATTAGAGTCATGTGTCGTCACCTCCTAACCATCTTTCTTTTGTCTTTTTTTTTTTCCTTTTTGGTTTTTCGAGACAAGGTTCCTCTGAAGCAGTTCTGACTCTGACTCTCCTGGAACTCACTTTGTAGACCAGGCTGACCTTGAACTCACAGAGATCTGCCTGCCTCTACCTCCCGAGTGCTGGGATTAGAGGTGTATGCCACCACTGCCCAGCCATCTTTCACTTTTTAAGTCTGAATTGCTGGTACATTCATGAATCCACAGTACCAGGACAGTGTATTCTTCACATTGCTGGCAAGGTTGGTAAAGTCATGACAACTAGAGCTGTGTAGCTTTGCATCCTCTGGACTTACAAGTACTGTGAACTTTGACTTGTTTTTGATTTTGTCAATTTCGGAACGTTCTTGAGGAGTAGCCGTTCCTACCAGATTTTGGTGAAGTTGTAGAGCATTTCCATTTTTGCTTTGGTTTATTGCTGTTTAATTCTGTACTTAGTAGATTTGTTATTTCTGTGTGAGGTGTGCTCTGATGGGGCAGGTGAACTCACTGCTGGATTGGTGTTCCATATTCAGGTCTTTAAAACATTTGATCACATGGCTCGCCAGGACGATGAGAAAAGGAAGAAGGAACTTGAGGAGAAAATCAGAAGGAAGGAAGAAGAGGCCAAGGCTGTGGCAGCTGCTTCAGCCGAGAAGGAAGCCGTGCCGGTCCCGGTGCAGGAGGTGGAGATTGATGCTGCTGCAGAAGTCGAGAAGTTGGAGTCCCCAGGCCCACCGGGCCCCGAGCACAAGGTGGCCCATGGCTTGGAGGAGGCAGAGGCTCCAGGAACTCTTAGCAGTGCTCCCGAAGGCCCTAAGGAACCCCCTGTGCTCCCCAGGTAGGAGCAGCTCCTCTGCAGTGTCCTCCTTTCTCTGCAGAGGATAAGTTTGCCTATGATTGGGTTTTGCTTTGTGGGGTTTGTAAAATACCAGTTCTGTTTTGGTGGGGCGGTGGTTAAGTAACAGAAATTTACTTCCTAATGGTTCTTTCTAGAGGCTGGAAACCCATGATTAAAGTATCCTCTGGGTTGTTTGCTCTAAGGCCTCTATCAGTGGCTTGCAGACAGCATTTTGTATCTTCATATGGTCTTGCCTTCCTCCGTGTTTGCCTGTGTCTTTTTTTTTTTTGTTTGTTTTTGTTTTTGTTTTTGTTTTTCAAGACAGGGTTTCTCTGTGTAGCTTTTGGAGCTTGTCCTGGATCTCACTCTGTAGCCCAGGCTGGCCTTGAACTCACAGAGATCTACCTGGCTCTGCCTCCCGAGTGCTGGGATTAAAGGCATGCACCACCACCGCCTGGCTTGCCTGTGTCTTAATCTCCTGTTCTCAGGCTGCACCTCAGACACACTAGTGTGCCAGACTGCCTTCCATCCAGGTGGTTCAAGGGCCTTCTTCAGGAACTCATCCATGATTCCCTTTCTTCAGGGGATTTTGAGTCAGCTAAAATGAAATCTTTATTTATTGTGTATGGCATATGCCTCAGTGCATGTGTGGCAGTCAGGACAACTTACAAGAGTCAATTCTCAGCTGGGCCTTTAATAGTCTACAGAGCAAGATCCAGGACAGGCACCAAAACTACACAGAGAAACCCTGTCTTGAAAACTTAAAAAAAAAAAAAGAGTCAGTTCTCTCTTTCCATCATGTGGGTTCCAGGGATGGAACTCAAGTTGCCAGGCTAAGTGGCAGGCACCTTTACCTGTTAAGCCATCTTGGCAGCCCCCTAAAGTGTAATTTTAATAGCCTCTGAATCATTCCTAGAACAAAAGTTGACTTGCTTGGAAAATTTCTGGGAGGAGAGTTTATCTGTCACCAAACTTTGTGAATTAGCACCTGACTTACGAGAGCTGCAGACACCATGAGTCTCATTTCGAACCACTTCTGTGGTGCTGCTGGCTCCTTTCAGCCATCTAGTCAATGTGTTACAGAGCCATGGCTTCCAGCTCCAGGCACAGCAGCACTCTTTAGCTCAGCATTTATTTAGCTTTCTCTGCAGCCTGCATAACAGTCCTGTCGTTGATATTTGGGTGCTCACTTGGCTTCCGTCTTTTCCACCGTGTGAGACGAATGAATGATCTGTTCACAGTCCTGCACCAGTTGAGGGCCAGAGCCAGAATGAGAGCGCTTGTTGCCTACCAGAGCCCCTACTGTATCTGTGTGTAGACTGAGCCACAGTACCTTCATTCTTTGGTTTGGAACAGGATTGAATGTTCAACCTAGGACCTCACACGTGCTAGGCAGATGATACTCCCTTACTGAGGAACATCCTCAGCTCTTGATTCTTAATGTTCTTCTCCCTTCAAGAACACTGCTGAATGGATGTTTCCTCCAATCCTGCAACCCAAGGAGTGATGTGTACCTGAAGAACGGTCTAATGTAGGGCCTACATTCATAACCTGCCCCTGCTACTTCCTAAACATATTTTGGGCAAGCAATATCACTTCTCATGATCTACTGTTACTATTTTTAATTTTGTGTGTGTGGGTGCTTTGCCTGCATGTGTGCCTGTTTGCCGCATGCATGTCAGTGCCTGTGGACGCTGGACAAGGGTGTTGGTTACAATCGGAAACTGCCATGTGGTTTCTGGGAATTGAACTTAGGTCCTCTGGAAGAGTAGCCAGTGTTCTTAACTACTGAACCATCTCTGTGTCTCATTTCTCTGTGAGACTGTAAACCCATCTTGTAGAGCTCTTGTGAATTTTAAATGAGCTCAGGGTCAGGCAGCTGCTGAGTGCAGAGCTGGAGTATAGCGCACTTGCCTGCATCCAGCCTCACGGTGTGCTTCTGCTCACTCTCCAGCAGGAGCTGAGTGCACCCAGTCCTTCCCAGGGAGACGAGTGGGCAGTGTGCTGCTGCTCAGCTCCGATCCTGCTGGCTGGTCCTCTCTTGACAGGTCTGCTGCTTTCCTCTCCAACTTCTGTTCTTCCCACTCCTTGTACTCTAACCTGTTTTTGGAGAGGGAGTTTAGTTTCCGTTTAGAGAAAGAAGCGAAGTAAACAATTTAGAATGGCTTACTACTGAGTAGGCAAAATAAGTTTTGTAAAGATAGAGTGTGGCAAGACAGTAGAGTCTAGCTAAATACGGAGTTTAGAGAAAGTAAGTGTTGGGTGCGCCAACCAAGTTGATGGAGAATAGGAAGCTGGTCTTGTATATGGAGCTCTGAAAGAAAAGGGCTGTCTGTGGTAAAGGTTTGGAGTCCAGAAGTGGAGGAGGAAATCTGATACTAAAAAAGAGTGTTTTTTTTCTTCTCTTTTTTTCTGTAGCCTAGGCTAACCTTAATTTCTTCCTATAGTCCAGGCTAGCTTTGAATTCACAATCTTCCTGCCTCAGGCTTCTGAGTGTTGGGATTACAGTCATATGCCACCATATGAAACTCTTAAGAATTTTCTTTCCCCTACACTAGGTAGAGATGGTGTGAGAGAGCTGGCCCTGATAGCCTGGGCCTAGGAGAGCTGACTCCACCCCTTGCCTGAGGGGGACGGTCCCAGGGCCCTGGACTGACCAAATCAGCTATCACCCATGCCCACATCCAGGGCTTCGAGTTGTCTCACCCCAGTGTCTACCCCATCTATGACCGGGTGGAGTGTGTGAAAGGGCTGGTTCTGTGGAACCATAGCTGCAGGATCTCCATGACTTGGGGCAACATCCCAGGAGGCCTTTCAGTAAGGGTTCAGTGTTGTTGGTGTACCAGAAGCCAGAGGCTTTGAACCAGACCAACAACTCATTGCAAAAGCATATGCAAGTGAAGCTGAGTGGACAGAAGGGTCTACCGTGCTACACACGGCAGCTCCCAGGGCCACTAAGATGAATGAAGAGGTGCTGGCGGGGCGGGAAAGATGGAGGAGCAAAGAAGTTTGTTGTTGGTGGTGGTTTTTAGTTAATATTTTTAACATTTTCTTTTGATGGGGGTGATTGTTAATACAGTGTGCGGAAGGCTCTGGCAGGTCGAGCCAAGGTGCCTACAGCGGGTGAGAGACAGACGCCATGCAGACAGCGGTCAGTGGAGAGGGTTATTTGTGGGGAGGAGAGAGAGGGAAAGAGAGAGAGGGAAAGAGAGAGAGTGAGAGAGGAGACACACCTCGTGGGAATAGAGAGAAAAGAGAGAGGAAGGGGTGGACTCTTTCCTTAAAAAGGCTTTTACATCAGGACGCAGGGCCGTGCCAAGGGGGTGGGATTTCAAGGGGTGGGTCAGAATATTAACAGTGATGCTACAGGGGTGAGGGGCAGATATGGAGGGACTGGGAAATGAGCAGGATTGGGGAGCATGAGGTGAAATTCCCAAGTAATAAAAAAAATTATGTTAAAAAATATACAGGTTAAAAAAAAGAACTTTCTTTTTTTCCATCATGGCTTTTATTTATTTTTTTATATTTATTATATTATATTATATTATATTATAATTATATTATATTATTTTATGTATGTGAGTGCTCTATCTGCATCTTCATGTACAACTTTATGCCAGAAGAGGGCATCAGATCCCATTACAGATGATTGTGAGCCATCATGTGGTTGCTGGGAATTGAACTCAGGACCTCTAGAAGAGCAGCCAGTGCTCTTAACCTCTGAGCCACCTCTCCAGCCCTCTCTTTCTTTTTTTAAATACAACTTAAAATTTTTTTTTAAATTTTTATGTGCTTTGGTGTTTTGCCTGCATATGTGTCTGTGTGAAGGTGTTGGCTCTCCTGGAACTGTTTTGAGCTTCCATGTGGGTGCTGGGAATTGAACCTGGGTCCTCTGGAAGAGCAGCCAGTGCTCTTAACTGCTGAGCCATCTTCCCAGGCCCTCTTAAGAACTTTGTTATTTCTGGTAGTGCAGATCTACTGGTGATGAATTTTCTTTTTATTTTGGATATTTTCCTGCTTCTTTACATGCCTGGTAACTTTTGATTGGATATTAGACACGAGTGTTGTGCTGTTATGTCTGTATTTTCTTTTTTTCCTTTTAAAGAGCGTTGTTTTGTTCTTGGAGGCATTTTTTAAAATTAATTAATTAATTTATTTTTCTATTATCAGCTTGATACAGTACAAATTCTTATCCTAATAGTGAAATGTTTCATTGAGGCTTGCCCAGCAATTGAGTAAAACCAAAACTTATTATAAGCCACAGTCATCCTAGGGTCCCCCCTGCTATATAGCCTCCCTGGTTCTGTAGGTTACAGTCTGAATCCACTTATGAGTGAGTACATACCATGTTTGTTCTTCTGGGTTTGGGTTACCTCACTCAGGATGATATTTTCTAGTTCCATCCATTTGCCTGCAAATGTCATGCTGTCATTGTTTTTCTCTGCTGAGTAGTACTCTATTGTGTATATGTACCACATTTTCTTAATCCATTCTTCAGTTGACGGGCATCTAGGTTGTTTCCAGGTTCTGGCTATTACGAATAGTGCTGCTATGAACATAGTTGAGTATGTATCTTTGTGGTATGATTGAGCATTCCTGGGTATATGCCCAAGAGTGGTATGGCTGGGTCTTGAGGTGGATCGATTTCTTGGAGGCATTTTTTTCCCTCTTCAGATCAACATGACTTTCTGAAGCTCAGTGTGTGTGTGGGTGGGGAGAGTTAAGATGTACCTTTAGGCTGTGGGTGGTGGGGGCACACCTTTAATCTCAGTACTTGGAAGCAGAGGCAGGTGGACCTCTGAGTTCAAGGCCAGCCTGATCTCCTGATCTATGTAGTGAGACCCTGTCTCAAACAACAACAAAAGTGTGCCTTTAGGACCTTTTATTTTGGGGCCAGTCTACCTTAACATTTGCTCTTTTGAGGCTGTCTTCTCAACGCTCCAGAGTTCAGGTATTCAGAAAAGTCTTCTCATGTGTCTCTACCTATAATCCCAATATTT